TTTTTTTTGTCTGTTCTCCGCTGACTTCTGCATAATTCATCTTTGAGTAGTGTAAACTCTACAAGTACATGCACCTGTAGTTCCCATGTTCAGCTGAGTTTTGACACTGTACTCGTATTGCTCTGTTTGTCCAAGTTGGTTTGGGTCTGAGTTGACCTGATCCCTTTTTAAGCACCGTCGACTTTCAGTAAAATTAGTTGTGCACAATCGTGCTGGTACTTGACATACAGCTAATAATTTATGTGGTGTTTTTGCTCAATGTGCAGATAATTTTTGTTAGTATTTAAGTGTCTATGTGCGGATTATCAGTTATATAAATGATGAAGTGGCTAAGGTCTGATCGCGAATTAATTTTTTTCAAGAGAAATGATGTGGACGATGTGGCTCTGCAATTTATTGCGTGTATTTTTACATGTGCCTACATACATGTATTCAGTAGGCTGTTCGGTATTCAAATGATGATCACGTAACAAATCTCGGAGAATTCAGCCAATATTGTGCCAAATTATGAATGTCATAGTAATTGGAACCTTCACCCAAATAGGATACAGACAAATGAAATCTAAAACTTAATGAAAAAAATTAAAAAGATTATGAAAGGTTGAATGAAATGAGTTGGCATTGTCTGTCATTAGAGCTGTAATTTCCTCCACTGTCAAGCGCTTAGAATCTTCGAATCGGGAGGTCAACCCCCAAAAAACCCTTGGCTTTGGCTTTTCCCTTTTGTAAAGGTTGAATAAAATAGAGGCGAAAAGTGTCTTTTTCCAAATGCCAAAATGTAACAGTGGACAAAATCAACATTTTATCGATCAATCCTGAGGTTGGGTCCGAGTTGACTCAGTGTGGGTCCGAGTTGGTTGTAGGTCTGAGTTAGTATCGGGTCCGAGTTGGTCGTGGGTCTGAATTGGCATGGGTCCGAGTTGGCATGGGTCCAAGTTGGTTTGGGTCCGAGTTGACTCGAAACCAGTATCACTAGTAGACCTGACCAACACTAATGTGGGGGAGGAGTTTCTTGCAGAATTCCACTGGGATTCCAATGATAACTGCCTTGCTTTAGGGTTTTTTTGATTTGGTGAATTTGGTAGTTGAGGCCCATTGGTCATGTTGCAACATGGCTTTTAGATTTCTTCCCTGGGCTGGAGTATGACATCTAGTGGTAATACCCCCCTTTGTCAGTCTTGGACATGCTTCTCACAAAATTACCAATAAGACTATTTAGAGCTTTGGGTATTTCTGATTGGATTTACTTTAGCATGTTTGATATCTGGGGAATTGATGATGACTGGTAGGTTACCTCTTGGTATTTGGGCTCTGGGTAGTTTTGTTGGAGGTCTGTGTCCTTGTAGACATCAGTGTATGATGCATGTACCAGTATGTGTTTTGGTCATTTACGGCTTTTACATGTAGTTTGAGGTTGTGATTCATTCTGAACTTGACTGATTAATCTGTTTAGTGTTGATCTATGTTGATCATTATTATTCAGAGGGTAAATTCTTATGGGATATCGGTTTAGACTGTGACAGTCCCATGAGGTATCTGATTCCATTTCATCTTCCATTTTGAGATGAATTTAGTCCTAAATGGGCCTAGAAAGTGGGAATATCGATATTATTAATACCTGCTGATTTTGAGATATCTTGCCAAAAGGATCACAAAGTAGCGTAGAGGAAGGGTTGTCACTTGATGACAGATTTAACGTTTTCCATGCACTCTCGAGCATCCAGTGAACATGTGTGATTGTGGCGAGACCATTTTGCCATCTCCCAGAAGGAATTGCTGTACCAGATCACTATCATAGAATGATTTCATCTACTTCACCAATCCCTGCAACTCATGTCCAAAGGTTGAACAATGTACATCTCGCGCTGTTTTTGATGCTGTTTTCTCAAAGTGGCACCCAATGGGATAATTTTTTTGTTCTGCCTGACATGGGTTGTCTTCAAAAGTAGTGATGCAGTTGCTACTGTGCTTAGACACTGGGTACTTTCGTAGCTGATCCTGGGATTTTCAGAAAATTTGTAATGACTACCGGGGATTTTCAATGCTATGACTTGTACCAATAGCACTTTCCCTGAGAAAATGTTAATTGTAAAATATATGTACATTACAGCAAATTTCTCCAGGGTGACGTCATATGCAGCAGTGTTTTTTTGTCAAAGGTGCATATCATTACTAATTTTTGAGTATTGTTTTTCTGGAAATTTCTAAATACTGAATTATTTGTATCAGGTAATTGGTGTAGAAACCTGAAAGCTCCTTGTTGATGGGTATTTAAGGGCATGTGAGAGTTTTTCTAAAACTGTTGAGGCATACTAACAATTTGAAGTAACAGAAAAGGAAAATCTGATGGAAATTTTAAAAATTGAGATTGAATCCAATTTGTTAAAACTAGTAGTAATATTTGGATCAAATAAGTTGCCAACCTTGCTTTGTAGCATTCATGGGTTTCATTTTCTCGCAAAAGTAGTGGTTTGCTTACAAACTCTGGCAAGCTCAGTGACCCTCCCGATTCAAATCCAGTTCTGACCTGCTTACAGTAGCTATGTAATATATCTAGGCAGGAAACAGTTACTGCTTGGACAATGCTTTTCGTTCTGGTCTGTTGCATTGCTATAAGGCCAGTGCTGCTCAAGTCGTTAAAGAAAACATGCAGATGAACTCTGGTAATGAAATCTGTCGTACAACTGAAACATCTACATGTACATGTGTGTATTAACTGAAGGTCAGAGAGCCTGTCTTTTCATTTCTAGCAAACTTTCTCAAAAAGAAGTGACTATTTATCATGGCATGTCAGTCTATTTCTTGGTGTGAAATTGATGTGTCCAGTTGCCATCTGTAGCCTGCATAAAAATAACAGATTTTGAAATTAATACCATTATACCGTTACCTGGACAATACATTTATCAGATTAATTCCTTGTCTCTGCACTCTGAGTGGCACCGACGCTCGCCGCAAACGAAAAACTCACCCTGATGTAAGGATGAGAAATGTAGGTGTGCACCATGCAATATAGCTACACCTCAGACAGGGATGCCCTCGTGCAGAAGAACTACCCTTACAAACCAACAGCTTCAGAGATCGATAACAAATCTTCCAAAGGATCCTCAACATACCCGTCCTTTACCAACTCTGATTTCCATCCACCGTGCCTTGCAAACAATCTGTCTGGCACTTCCGCTTGGGCTGCAGTGGTTGCTTCCCTTGATTGGAGGCTATGCAAGCCAAAACACTTAATATCTGTAACAAACAGGGCTAAAGCCTCAAGGATAACTTCCCTTACACTTGACTCCAAGTGTGGCTGATTAATACCCCTCAATTTGTACCCTTTTTAACTTTTGACTGAGCAGGAAATTTAAAGGCGTCCGATTCAGAAACTTCTGCTGCGAATAAACATTTTCGTAACAACTCTACTGGACAATACCTAGAATCTGTCTTGCTGGTCAGTTTTTCATGACAGAATGAGCAGAGTAAAACCCTCAGATACATGTATGAAAGAAATGTGAGAAAGCTTGTTATGATCAAGTTCACTAAATCGTAAGAAACCTGTGTATGCCAAAAGACATATTGTAACTGATCCCAATGTCATAAGATGTGCCTCTTTGTTTGCATTATACAAGTAAGAATCTGTCATTTCCTTCAGAAATGATGTAGGTACTGGCCTTTTCTTTTCAATTGATTTAGATAGCTGTTGTTTAAGGCCTTCTGGAGTAAACTTTACAAGTGAAAAGGCCATGGAATCATCAATTCCAGCCATTTTAAGTGCCCAAAATACATGTATGGATGCTACCGCCTTAATAATTGGTGCTGGGGAGTTAAAATTTTTACTTAAATAAGCTAAACAGAGATATCAAGGGGGTCTGCTTTTACACGTGTGTGCTTTTTCCAAGACCCCAAGAACAATCTGACCACCGTTAGAAAGCTCTCGCTCTTGAGTCCAGAATCACACAGACTAAAAACCCAAACTAAAACCCAACACAGTATGCAAAATGGATCTGATGAGTTTACAGGCAGCCTTCAGTCTGTAAAAACAAGAGAAGTAAAGAACATACATGTACATGTAAGAAAAACAAAATCTCTTGTGCATGAACTACATACTGGACATGATAGCAGGGATTAACATGTCATAGAACTAAAATTGTGCACTGGCCTATGGGGCTCATCAAGTATTCAAATCCGGGCAAGTCCAAATGAACAATCTAATTAGGAAGAGAAGACAAAGAAAGGCATGCTCTGAGGCAAATGGATGGAAATACTTATACATCACTAACATTCTTAGACTAGAAAGAGTAAGAAAGGTAAGAAAATATGAGAAAATCAAAGAAAAAGAGATCTAAAAGATGATATAAGCTTAAGAGTGTAAGTGTTTTCCAGGCATAAAAGCTAGACAAAATTAGGAAATCTTTAGTGATTCAGAAAACTAATACACAGGAAGAAAATGGACAAACCTTGGCAAAAAAGTTCAGAAACTGGATAATATTGAGAAAAGAATGAATAAGAAAAGTTGGGAAACTCAACACTGACTTCTAGCAGAATAAGGCTCAAGCAGAAAACCACATTCCAGTTAGGAGGAACAATACATGTGAAGTTGACAGGTCTCTGCTGATCTGCTACACTGAGTGTACGACTATATAGGGGGAGCTGGGACTTAAACAAATAAACAGGGGGGTACACTACTAAAAAAGCAAGAAACTCTAAACTAAAGCTAAACATTTTTAAAGGGGAACTACTTCTATATAGAAATGTGTATTTAATAACATCATCATTTCTGAATCTGCCACAGATGCAACCCCAAGCCCATCGTCAAGAAAAATTATGATTGATTTACCTTCGCCCCTCCACTTCTTAACTAGACGGCAAATTACCTTGGTGAAAATATAAGGTGCACGTGATAGGCCAAATGGCAACTGCCTAAATCGATGCAAAGACAGTGATTTTCCATTTTTCCAAGTGAAACCAAGAAATTCCTGATGGGGTGGGCAAATACATGTATCTAAATGGTGGTAGCCAGATTTTAAATCAAACTTGAACGTGTACCCACCTTTCTCAAGGAAGAAAAGTACAGTATGCTTGTCTTTGTACTTTAATTCACCTATTGTTTTTGAAGGCGCCATAGGCCTAGCTATTTATTGACAATTCTCAAGCCCAGGATGAGCCATTTCTTGCTATTGGTCTGGATAGATACATGTACTGTCAGTAGATTCTCAACTCTGGGCTTACTCTGACACACTGCAGTACCTAGTGATATTAATTCAGAAATAGCCTCTGAAGCAAAATTGCTGTTTGCTAGAGCTGATTTGTTATTAGTGGAAAACATTTCAGGAGGATTGCAGGTCAACGGCAATCTATAAGCTTCGCTCACTATGTTGAAAACAAATTCTAGTGCGTGCAATAGATCCTGAAAGACCTTATGCATTTTAAGACGACCTGCAACCCTTGTGGAAAAGACGCCTGGGTTTTCTTCATATTCATAGTAACTGTCAACAACCTGAGATTGAGCTTGCACACCCACTTTTATCTTTGTGCTTTGGGCAGGTGGCCTTCCAATGAGAGACGCACAGGAAACATGCTTCTCCAAAACCTTGAGGCTTGTTGACGTGGGCATCATAATATTGGGGCTGCTCTTAACTTCTTAGCCTGCTTGACTCTGCTGCCCTCTTCTGCTTAATTTTTTTGGCGGCTTGATTTCCAGCACAGGTAATCTAGTTGTCATCATCCTGGTCTGCAGCCAGCTCATGCATACTTCTCATGCATACTCTGTAACTGTAGCCCAACCATATGTGCTGAAATCAGCCAAGCGAATCAACTTCTGTCACTTGTTGATGGTGGAGGTGGCGTTGGACAACGTTGCATTTAGGACCGACAAGGAAGGGTTGTCAGCACCTAGCTGGTCTACTGCAGTTTGAACCAAATCTTTGACTTACCTATAACATAACAAATAATTCTTAGTATATTTGTGAATAAAATTTGGGTGAAACAGATACATGTAGCAACAACGAAAGTACAAGGATTCAAATCTTTATGAAAATAAAAAGCGTGTCTAGCCTGTGTCAGACCAATGTGAAGTGAATCTCCTATACCCTATGCACCCCTGCAAGGGTACATGCATGCTACATGTACATGCACCACTAAAACTTTCACTATACATTCGTCCTCCCATTCCACAGCTGTACATTCCGCCGTTTATTATCGAAGTAAACAAATATGCTCTAATTGTACCCGATCACTCAAACGAACATATTTACTTTCTTTGGTTTATATTCATCATAAATAGGTGTGTTATTGTGATGACTTAGATGAAGTTTTATATTTGGAAATTACCGATATTTCCTTTAATAAACTTCCTGACTGAAATATTGGGTTGCTGGAGAAGTAAGGAGATACCAGTATATTACCTTTTTGGTTGAATACAGGGTACATGTACATGTGTGTGTAAATCATCCACAATCAGTTGATTAAAGTTGTTTTTCTTTTGTTGCTTTTCAGGACTACAGTGAGAAAGCATCTATGCTTGTCTACTGACACCATTGTGCTGTCATGGGAGGGAGTCAGCAGATAGACCACGCCCACCCATTCCACTTTGTCACTCATCTGGTGGTCACTAAAGGACACCATTCAGGTTGATGTGGTGTGCTGATGAACAGTTGACCGATGGAGCAGGAAATTCATTAAGGCTGTAAAGAGGTAAGTTTCTATCAGGCCATTTTTGTCATGTCTCAGGAAAGGTTTATGTCTCTGTAATACTGCATGCATACATGTGCACAGCGATGTTTATTTGTTGCATACTGACTGCATTCAAATTCCCATCATGTATATGTACTTATAACTGATTAACGGGAAGCCAAATGAATCAGTTCTATTTTAATTTTGAAATTGATTAATTATTTTTCAACTTTATATTTACCACTTTTTAAATCCTGACTCTAAATACCTGTCTACATGTATGTGTACATGTACATGTATGACTGTGGATGTTGAATCTCGTTTCATATTGGTTAGTTTCAGGTATTGTTTAATATAAGAATAACAATGTCCAATGTCAGTGTTTTTTCTTGAATTGTTCAAAACTCAAAATTGTAACCGTACTTCAAGGAGAAATACAGCGAAAGGGTACAATGGAGTATCAAGGTACATGTACATATATGTACCTTGAGTTATGGCACTTCCTAAGGAAAGGACAAACACTGAACTTCTTTTCTTTTTTGGCCTGTTGTCTTGGCAACCCCATCCAGCTTTATTGCCATACAACTACTTTGTTTTGTCTACATACCGATAATTTATTTACAGATCCAACCAAAATATTTTACTCAGTGCCCAGTTGATACTTTGGTAATAAACATGTCACTCTAACTGGTAACATGTACTTGCATTGCAATTAGCTCTTGCTGGCCTTACAAGAAGAAGAACTTTACAATTGGCAATATGTTGTGTAAAATAACATCACGTGGTGAGCCAAAAAGCATACCAGTACATGTGTGGCTTTTGGCAGGATTATGCAGAAAGGCAGTGTTCAGTAGGGTTTGGCTGATGTCAGGGTTTTCCTGTAGGGTGGTGTTTAAGTTAGGGATTGACCTCTCTGACAATTAAAATAATCCCAATAAAAACCAAGAATGGGCACAAAGAATTATCCTCACTGTAGATTAGAATTTATAATTTACTGCTTTTTGAGATCAAGTTGAGAAACTGCAATTCAGAAAAACTGTTCCAGCATTGAGAAAAAAGTGGGAAAATTACACAATGGTGGACCTTAGTAAATGGAGTCGACACTAAAATATATTGTTGAAAAAGCACAGGCTGGTTCAGGTTTGCAATAAACTACATGTAATTGACCTGTAATGAATGTCGTGACGTATGGTGTAGAAATTACATTCAAAGTGCAGAAGTTCATGGATTATGGCCACTGACAAATTTGTAAAATATGGGTAGTAAGTAAGGTTGTAGATAAAACGGATAAAACTTACAAGACATGGGCACTTTGCAAGCTGCTCTGTCTGCAGAGTTCACACGGTGAACAATTCATGGACATGTAACGTGGACATGAGTTTGCGCTTCATGTACAGGTAGCATGCTGAAACTTTCACAACAATGCGACACAGAAAACTCCAGATCACAAGTTTTTGGTTTAAGTTGGAGCCCACACTTGGCCCACATGATCTACATGTGCGAACTAAATCTGTCAATATAAAAGAGGCCAAAACTGTGTATAACAATGAACGAAAAATAACAAATGCAAAAAGTTTAGGACAAACCTGAACTTTATGTTCTGAAAGAACAAACTCCTTCTAGAGAGAGGCAGATTGTCATCTCCTCTACGGCGATGTACAGTGTACTATGCGTCATGTAGGTATACAAAATAAGGCTCATGACTGGTACAAAATAAGTCTACAGCCCATTGATTCAGATTCATGTTAGTGAGAATACTGTTCACCTATGATCAAGACCAAAGATTGTATATCGCCGGGCAGCGGCGAAAGATGGGGAACTGACCATCTGGCATGTGTTAATTTCATGGAGGTCACAATCCGCCATTTTGGTGTGCAAAAGGCGAGCTGTTTGTACACGTGACATATGGCTGCGGGAGGCTTATCCACGAAAAAGGGGCCGTAAGGTAAATATTTACCCTCAATTGAGATTGAAACTTATATTTATCGTAAATAGAAGTGTGTAACATCATAGCGTAAAACCCTTGGAGATGATATAGGAGAATTTTGGTGTGTTCTGTGTGGTTACACTCTGTGTTGCGGCCGTCGGATCGTCCATGGTTACAAGTTATACTTGTGCCTAGGCCCTACATGTACATACATGTACAAGTTTCTTTTCTCGTGCGTAGGCTGCCTGGGTGCAGATATCCCACGGCACGTTTCATTACAACTTACAGTAAGTCACTCACTCCCCTGAAACGTTGACAAAATTACTCTCAAAAAGTGGATTTCTTATATTTCATGACACCTCTGAACCAAAATGATGTCCTGAATATCAGAAGGTTAAAGTTTCTTGGAAGAGATAAAACTTTAATTCAAAAGAACAGCTGTGTTCTTAAGTAATGAAATAATTCGTGGTTGCCACAGTAATATAATGTTAAATGAAGATAGACCGTAACCCTTTTTTTAACCACAACACCTGATCTTTTGGCTTGTGTACATCTTTCATTTTTTCTTGGCAAACAGTGGTTATTCACACATGAATATTCATATTGGATTAGGCCTAATAATTAATACAAAAATGCAGTAGAGCCTATGTACATGATGTATACCAGAATTTAATGTTGTACCTGTAACGTTACGTGGCCACTGCCAACTTCTGTCATGCATGTCCATTAGCACTAAGTACTGTATATTCACGTAAATATTTTTTTGAGTAAAATTTGTCTAGAGAAAAAAATCTTTAACCTGCTTTCCAGTTTTACACCCTACACTGAAGGGGTAACACACACATAAGAATTTTGTTTGTACATG